AGCAAATCTATTTAATCAAGGCTTGGTAGAGGAGATGGGCAGAATCCTTAGTATCTACTTAACCCTAGAAAAGTTACTTTACCTGTCAGTGCCTTCATTTCTTTATGTATACAGGGGGGACAATACTACTTCATAGCATGGTTATAAGTATTGAAAGAGTTAATGTTTTTATAGCATTTAGAACAGTGCCAGACACAATGGTAAGCCCTGAAGTACATAGAATCTACATAGGAGTTAATAGGGACATAATCTTATCTAGAAAAAAAATGGTTGGAAAATCACAAAATGAGGCCTTGAACGCTGTGATAAGGAATGCCTGGTGGTGTTGAGCTAGGTTTGTTAGTAGAAGACATTGAATGAATGTTATATCTATATGAATGTAATAGTTGGAAGCCTGATGATCTCTTGACCAGAAACCGGAGCTTAAATCTATTATTCAAAGCCTTGATTTATTCACTGTTGCTTCAGATTCAAAACATTGGTTTTCACGGGCATTTCAGTCTAATGCAATGTCAGTTAATTAGGTCTCAAGTAAAACAGCTGCCACAGAGAGTTTACATTACCATAACTTGCATTTGAAAAAGTCAAAATTTTCAAGATATGGTTAGTTCCAAAGTACATTTTTTGATAAACCAGCTTGAATACTGCATTGTGTATAACAAGGTTAAATAAAGGTTCTAATAAGACAAACAGCGACAATTTAAATAAATCAGATGTTTTTGTCGAAGATTACTCTGTGATTTTCTCCAATTATTCATGACATTTCACCCACTCATATTGTGATCTGCTTTAATAGTGGAAGGAAAAAAAAACCCCTTGTCTCCTTGTTTATTCTTTGTTCTCAAGGAGATAAGCTGTTTATAAAGATGTTATTTGTTATTTAAATCACTTTTACTGAAGTTGTTTATTTCCTCGTTTCAGTTTCTAAAAATATTGCAACAATTGTAATGCTTCTTAGAGATGTCTATTCAATCCAGAGTGATTTGTACTGAAATTCTTTGCTAAATGGGCACAGGTGCTGATGTGTATAACATGCTAGAGTGAGTTAAAACTAATAAATGTTTTTTTTTTAAAAAATATATTTTTATGATTTCAGAGAGAAAGGGAGAGGGAGACAGAGAGATAGAAACATCAATGATGAGAGAGAATCATTGATCCGCTGCCTCCTGCATGCCCCACACTGGGGATCAAGCCTGAGCCTGCAAACCGGGCATGCGCCCTGATCCGGAATTGAACCGTGACCTCCTGGTTGACAGGCTGATGCTCAACCACTGAGACCTCCTGGTTGATAGGCTGATGCTCAACCACTGAGCCAAGCTGGAAGGGCCTAATAAATGTTTTTAAAAGAAGATAACAGGAATATACTTGTCAACTTTTGAAATCTGTGATTAAAAATATTTTTGACCTTATGTCTAATATTTGTAAAGGTCTACCTTTATACCTGCCAATTAATAAGAATTTAGTAGTAGTAATAATAATGATGATAATAATAAATTAGATAACACCAAAACTATAAGCAGAAAAATTGCATAATTTGCATCCAGAAATTTATTTCTTAGAAAATGCCCCTTAATCACTTTGCAGACTTTCAAGATCATAATTATTACATAAAGCTAATTATATTAAAAGATAATTTACCTCATAGTAAAGTATCAAATTAAAGATGAAAAACAGTACCTGTAAACAGAATTATACTTTTAAAAACATCATTGAACAGCAAAACAAGAAATTAAATTTACAGCTTCTCTCTTTACTATGCATCAAATTACCTACAGACTAAATTTTGGTAATTTGATACTATAAAGCTACATAGTAGTATAGCATACAGCTCTATATTACATGTCTTGCATATCAATCTATAAATCTAAACTATACTTATCCTAGGTAACCAACAGAATCGTTGTGTGAAATAAAGCCAAGAGGATTTGATATTGTAAGGGACAGTTGATTATTTCCAAGAACTAAAGCTTCAAAATCCAGCTGAGTTGATTTGAACTAAAGAAATGAAGCCTGGTACCATAGATTATAGCATGTATTCCTGCTGAGTAAGCCCTGGATACTGCAAACTCAGATCTGTGGGTGACCATCTCTCCCTTTGAAGTTGATGAGAATTTCTTGGCCTAAGTGAGATACATGCTGGGAAAATTGGGCCCTTACAATTGGTGTGTATAGACATTAGTGGTCTCAACACTGTTATCATCTGGTCCCTTAGTTTTATCCAGGCTTGGTTTTTGCAGAAGACATTCAACTTTGTAATAAATCCTTCTTGAATGAGATATCCCCCATGACTAAAAGGTATTCAGGTTTTATCATCTAGAGATTCTAGATTGAGAACTGCTCTGTTACTAGTAAACTTGGGTAAATAAAACTCATCTTGATTTAAAACTTGTTCAAGTAATTTCCCAAGGTGTCCATTAGAAAACAAACACAACACAACACAACACCCAATCCTTTGAGGTCTAGGCCAAATCATGGCTAATTATGAGCATAGGCAACTGGTACAAGTACTAATACTTGTAAACAAATGAGTTCATATAGTTTTATCATTCCATCTTTGAGTTCTGAAGATTGGCTGCATTTTAGGCCATCTTTAGTTCCTCAGAAAAAGCAGTCTGTAGAACTGAAAAATATTCAGTCTATTTGATTGCCTAGATGCACTGCGTCTAACCAACAAAACTAGGTTGCTTATGACCATCACTCAGTGATAATTAAAATTCTATGTGGCACGGTTCACTTTTTGTCTGGATATACAACTGATATAAGGGCCATTTAAAGAACTATCTCATTGAATAAACAGGCTTTCAGTCCCTATTACTGTTCAGTTAATTTTAAGAAGGGGTAGTAGCTGTGCTACCTTGGGGAAGTTACTTTATCGCTCAGAATCATTGAGTCTTAATATGCAAACTGCTGCGTCAAAATCAGAAGATCTGTAAGGTCCCTTGAGGATCTACAAGTAATTTTTTTGGTGCCAGTTCAAGATGGTGATGTAGGAAGATCCTGAACTCACCTCCTCTCATGTTCTACATATAGAACAATTTGCTCTAAAAATGACTTTTCTTACTAAGTCTGGATATCCATCTACATGAAGTTTATTTTTCTTTTATAATAATGAATACTAAAAACATGTGCAATATTAAACCTGGAACATCATTGGAGTTGCCCTGCAAATATTAAAATTCAATTGCTAGGTTTTATAATTATTTACATTAAAGTGATTATTTCTCTAATTTAAAAAATTATGAGAACACAGGAAATACATGAGAGAGGAAATGGGATCATTTTTCCAGTTTTCTCAAAATAATACATATGGAGGTTCATGAACTCAAATGAGATACTCGGTAAATCACCGGCGACATTTGAGTGATATGAGATAGTAAGGATGATAGGAGCCAGATCTTGATTTTCTAAAGGTCCATAATAAAGAAATTCTGTAGACAGTGGGCAGGCATTGCAAGTTTAGATCACATTTTTAGGTCACATTTTTTAAGACAACTTTGACAGCAGGATGGAGCCAGGAGAAAGAGACAGAACCAGTTAGGAGATGACTGCATTAGCCTAGTAAAGACAGGAGGAAGAAGATCCAATTATAGTAGATGAATTAAAGCCTTATTAAGAAGATAAATTTAATCATATCTGGTGCAGGGTTGGATCTGAGTGAGGAGGAAAATAAATTAATTGAAGATGGCTCCAAGATTTCAAATTTGCATGTGGAGTTGGGACAGTTAGAATTAGTTGGGGGTTGCTGCTATTTTTAAAAGAAAGATGGCAGAAAGGTCATGTGGAGAAATTATATGAGAAAAGTCTCTCCTCCCCCTTCAACATTTGGGCAAGTGGTATTTATGAAGGAAATATGTAGGTAAATACATACACATTATCATTGGGTTAAACATTTTTTTAAAAAGCATATCCTGCTGTAGCTGGTTTGGCTCAGTGGATAGAGTGTAGGCCTGAGGACTGAAGGGTCCTGAGTTTGATTCCGGTCAAGGGTGCATGCCCAGAATGTGGGCTCAATACCCAGAAGATATTCTCTCTCATCATTGATGTTTCTATCTCTCCCTCTGAAATCAATAAAAATATATCTTAAAAAAATTGAAAAAGCATATGCTCATAAAGGATATTCAAAGCTGGAAAACAAAAAGAACCAGTTATTTTTAAACTGTTGTAGAAAATAAGTAGAAAGAAACCAAATAAAGATTTAAGCATTGAACTTGACTTCAAATATTGTCTTTAGCCAGTCTCTAGTTACAAGTTAGACAATGTTTCAGTAGAGGAAAAAATGGTAACATTTGTTGGAAGGTTGACAAATATATAATTCTTACTTAAGGAGGGCTCCCATCAATGTTTCTCTCTCCCTTTCTCTTTCTAAGCATGTCTTCTGGTAAGGATTAAAAACAAAAAAAGCTTCTAGTAGGCCTTCCAGATTTTCCAAAGTGCCTTTTCATTGATTTCGCAGCACTTGGTAGAATCTTTTGTCTTTTTCTTTACCCCTCCTACTGGACTGCCAGCCTCTTCTGGACAGCAATTTGTATTCCCAATACACTTATCATAGTATCTCAAAACATTTTTGTTAAATAAAATTAGGGCAGATCACTTAGAAATTCATCTTTGGATACCCTAACCCATGGCCAACTCCTCCCTTAACTCACTGTCCATCTCAGGCCCTTGGCTTTCTCATGTCACTTGTGAATTCTTTCAAAACATTTGAGCATATGTCATTTTGAAAAAGATTTATGCTAATCTAATACAGAAAATAAAAATGGTAAGAAAACTTCGGGTATCCTGCCAAAGATGAACTGGGACCTAGAGGCAAAAAAAAAATAAAAATAAATTAAAAATTGGGGCTACCATTGAGTCACCTACGTTTTATTTAGGTTTCGGAATCTGGCTAGAGTACGCTAATTAAAAAAGGTTCAGGGGTGGTTACACGTCGTACTCCAGTTCCAATTCCATGAAAACATTCCGGGCTCCTCTGCGTCCAGCTCCGGGCTCTGTTTTGAGGGACGAAAGGGCACAGGAGGCCAGCCCGCCCCTTTTCTACCGGAGGTCGCGTTCCTGGGCTGCTCCCTTCGTGCTCTCGGGCGGAGCCTTCCGTGAGCACCGTCGGATTTGTCTGTGCCACCGTCTCTCTTCTGGGTCTCAATAAAGTTTTCCTCTTCCTTCTCTTGTACGGAGCTCAAGATGGCGGCCTCCTGGCCGCCCTTGGTTACCCTGCGGTTAGTGCGGAGCCGGTTGAGGGGGAGATGTGTTGGGTGCGGAGCCTGGGCCGCCGCTCTAACCCCTCCGGCCACCGCCCCTGGGAGCCCCTTTTGGAAAGGTCAGTGACTGTGCGCAGGACCAGGGAAGCCTCCTCCTGGTGTCACGGGGTGCGAGCCCTCGACGGGTTAGTGTCAGCCTCTCGTTCTTGTGCTGCTGCTGCACGGAGGGAGCTGGCCCAGGCTGGCACTTGGAGGGTCAGAGGTCGGCCCAGCGCCGGTTCCCTCCCGGCTGTTGGAGAGCGGAGGCCCGGCGAGC